TGTCCCGGAAAAATAAGCGTCTTTTATTTCCTATGAAAAACAATTCGAACTTGGCACTCAGAAACACTCTTCGGTCGTCAGAACTGATCACTAGAATCATTTGATAATGATAATAATAAACATTGAATTCATTGTATTACAAAATTATTAATATGCACGAAGCGGATGTTGGTGACCTTTCAACAAAGGTTTTGTATTTATTAATCACGTTGTCTGGTCTTCATTCATATCCTTCTCCCATTAAGTGTTCGAGATATTGGAATCTTTATCTAAATTTGTGCCTATTGATTTGCTTGGATAGAGGCTGTTATCGAGCTGCTGTAGGCTCTGTAAAAGATGGGCCGTACCACTTATAGAATTGATATCAAAATTTAGGAAGGATATTGAAACAAAAAAGATTGAAATAGGATAATGATGACCTTTATTAGAAATTATTGCTGTGTAGGTAGAGTCTGTTGATCGTATATACAAGCTAATTATTTAATGGATATAGCTAACAAGGACGTACTTGTGATATGTCTTTTTTTAGGATGGTGATTCAAATTTGCAAATGCATACTGAAATTGTTGTCTTAAAGATAGAACATTACTGTGTATTGCACTTAATGAAATGCAAGACATGCGTCCGATGGCGTATATACAAATCAAGGATAATTTTCCTTTATTTTTTTAACATTATTTTTCAAGAGTTTTTAAATACATAACAAATACATTCACAATACATCAATTTGCACACACAATAACACACATGGTATACTTATATCATCCTCATCTTCATATCAGCATCATCATTGTAATGTATTTAACATCAATATTCGTTAGAATAGCATTTTCACATTTGAATGCCGTAGCGCTTTGTTGATTGATGTCAAAATATATATGACGTCATAAAGTTATGATGTCACAATTGACGCGACGGGAACCTTCAGCAAATCATAGCTCTCTGAGGTCATATTACACGTTTGTCATAACAATTTAAGTAATGGATGTGATTGAACGAACAACACGGTATACATATAGGATGAACTATTTTATTGTTATGTTATGTGAATTTTATATAGCATGGTTTTGTAGTGTACTCTTGATTTTATTTAATGCAACACAAGATAGGTGGATAACGATATGATTTGTAATGTATAGTATACGAATGTACTTAAGAATATTTAAAACCAAAACAAAACCACTATCGAGGTTCACTCAGCAGAAAAATAGAAACAACCTGATTCTGTAATTCTTAACCTTAGTTGTTCGCGTATGTTTATATGTTTAATGAAGTTGTCATGAGCTGATATGAAATAAAGACACCTTCCTCATACACCCACAGATGCTATTCCCCGAAACTGTGTACATCCGGCAAAATCAAATAAACATCATATATCCGGAGTAGTTAGAACTGCGTTTGGTTTTAAATTTTACACGTACTGCCATTTGATAGCGCCATTTGTACATTGACATTATCCCTTTTCCCCATCAATAAACAAAGATTAAAATCATTTGTATTATTTTGAGTTAGAACTGTTCTTTAATTATGGGTCATCCCAGGTTAGGGCCATTAACGTAGGTATTTGTTGATTACTTCTACAACAGTGAATTTCTATACAAATATAATATTTGTTTTTTATGTGTTTAATACCGTGTACACGTCGTTTTACCTAGATGCATTTATAACTATTATCATTATTCTCGGATCCTATAAAGTTTAATCATGACATTTTATTATATGGATTTGTAAAACGAAGAACTTGGTAATATATTTTAATATCTTTCCTTTAGCACGCGCGGTAGTCATAAATACATTAATGAAGATGCGATTATTGCCCGTTCTCCAAAACTATAGATAATAGACCAAACATGTTTTATTTATTTATTCATTCATATATCTATATATATATACCATGTTGACTAAAACCGTAAAACTTACTACAAATAGCATCAAACCACAAAGGAAATGAAAACGAATGAAAACGACGAAATACCTAAACGGATATGACCATGGGCACTTGGAAATATAGCAGAGGCCAACTAATGTACTAGAGATGATGAAACGCTTCCTCATTCACTACTGATACTGTCGCCTTTGTCTCCAAACAGTTAAAATGTTTCACATAGAAACTAATACCGATCTATTGAATAGGAAACTGAAAACATGTGTATAGCTTATTCGATAGAAAACCATTGTTTTGTTATTTATTATTAGCATAAAAAAGCAAATTTGAAAATATGAGTTAAATAGATATTTAAAGTAGGCTGATTATCCCAGTCCCAGCAATATATACTTATGATAGACATTTACCTGAGTGACAATGTCCAAATATTTATCAATCAACACAATGTGTAATTAATATACAGTATTGCATGTTGATCTGCAGGTTTCAGATTTAAATTTTTCTATCGTGAATATATGATCATTGTATAATAAAGTAAATATAATTACACAAATTATTAGTTATAATTTATTGTATGTATGTAACAAAATGTGGCTTTCTAAACTTGGCTGCAGTACTAGTAAGAAAATATTAACAGTCATCGATACACCATATCATAATAGGATGATGATTATAGCCTTAGAGAACAGGGTTTGGCAATTTTTCACCACACGAAGATATCATTTTGATACTTATGGTTAATCGTTTGTGCCCGAATGAAATGAATGTTGAAATATTTCCTGTAATAAAATATTCAGAGAAATAAAGTTTGCTCTTCGGAAGTTAATTAGGAATTTCTGTTCTTCGTTGTGGTTTGTGTAAGCAGTAATTTCAAAATTATCACGTGATTTTAAACATTTCCATTTCAACTGCGATTGCAATAACATTATCTTTAAACTTTTGCACAACAGGTACACAAGTAAATATCCCCTTTGAATACAATATTGTAATGAAAGACCTACAAGTGAATATCCCCTTTGAATACAATATTGTATAAAGGACGCACAAATGAATATCTACTTTGGATATAATATTGTACAATGGACCAACAGAAATGCACACACGTGAGTATCTCCTTTAAATATAAGGGTATAAAAAGACACACAAATGAATATCTCCTTTCAATATCAGTCTGTACAAAAGACAAACAAGTGGGAACCCCGTTTCAAGATTAGGCTGTGGAAAAGAAATATGAGTGAATAGTTTCTACAGTATCGGGTTGTACAAAAGACACACAAGTGAATATCTCCTTTCAATATCAGGCGTTGTTGTATTGGCTGACTTTATTACCTTTTTCATTATGTAATTATTTTGTCTATTTTTGCTGTTAAAGCTTCCAAATTAAACAATATTATCCTTTTACTCATATCTTTATCTTCTACCGATCAAAACATGAATGTGAGTCTATGCATCCAATGGGTAATTACCGATCATAGTAAATGGATTATCAAAACTAAGGATGTAAACATTTAGAGGATTTGTCTTTTTTTCCCTTCCTTCTTTGCTTCCTCAATGTTTCTTTGTAATCTTTCAACTTTTCGTCCTACCTGGCCGGTGTTTCCATGTTCTGCATTACAGAACTAACACATACAGGGATTGTATTAAACGAAAAATAATGAAACTCGACAATAGAAGGAATATAAATATCATTATAAATTACCTAACTACCATGAATGCGACCAAGTTATATCTTTTGCAGTTCGACAAACATAACACGAATTATATACTTTGATATTCTATGTTGCCGTTTGTGAATCGATAGAGACAATAATTACAACTACAAGATGAAAATAGCACATCAAAAATTTACATTTAAAATTCGCATTAAGTATTAATTACAAAAGCAAATGAAGCCACTTGATAAGCTAAAATCTTTTAAATTAAGCAATAGGACTTCTCTATTTTCTAATTGATATTTGCATGATTCTCATGTGGAATTCATAAAAGAATACCTTTCATTTTCTATTGACATTATAGCACGTGATAGGAAATGGATGACGTAATTCAATATCCCATTAATATTAGTTCTCCTAATACCATTCAAAACTTCATATGAAACACCTTCAACACAATTGTTTTGATATATTTCATTGATGCATGCGTAAAATCAACCGTTTTAAATGATAAACAATAATAAGTCTTCAATAATACAGATAAAAATAAACATTTGTTTAGGAAATTATTTTAGTATTTCTTGTCTTTCTGAGCGTTCAGTACCGAGATTAGGAGGAGGATATTGGACGGGGTACTGGCTGTGATAGGTTCATCTGTATATCCGTTAGAGGGGATATTTGAGTCTACAATGTCCTTATAACAGGCGAAATCGTTTCTACATAAAGTTTTATATTTTCTCAATACAACTCGTAAACGTTGATTTGATTAAATTCTGCACGTGATATATGAAGTCTGCTGTTGACGGTAGGCAAGGCTGTTAGTCAATTAAACAATCAATCTATCTTACAAGATCTCACTGAATGGCCGTATCTACTATTTTAAGATTATATTAAGGCATCTAATATAATTATCTGTCTAAAGGAAACGCCTTTAAATATATGCGTTCAAGTTAAATCCTTTATTAGTAATAATCGTATCAGTCTGAACTTGTGCAAGTCTGTCAACTGCAATGTTAACAAATACGCGTGCTTTCTATAATGCCACGTGCTAATCGACACATCCCATATTGAACAAAGAAACAGCAACATGTTTGGCTTCATACACCCTCTGCTAGATAACAACTATAAACACTCTCTGTGACAAGCAATACATCTGAAGTAAACACATACCATGTATGTTTAAACAAAGACGGTATATACTGCTATCCGAGAGACCCTGTAATAAAATTCTGTTTTAAACACAAGTGGTAAACTTATAGCCATTTGCGTATATCATTTCAGTATGTAAGCTCCGCCCCACATTAGATGTCAGGGAGGTACTGTATGTCAGTGTTAGCCGCGACACTTATCTGGGTATATGTGTGCGTGGTAGATTGTGTTATCACAAGTTATATCAAATAGTATAAACCTACACTGCACATAGTCATTTCCCATTTCTCATTATGACTGTAACTGCAATAGGACAACATAGTGGACAAATTGTTTTCCCTTGTGAACATTTATGAAGTTGGTTGTATAATTATGAGATATATACACAGTTTATTGTCAATAGGATGTAATAGAGATACAGAAATGACCGAAGGTTCAACAGAAGTCCACTCTACTGTTTCCGGAAGTCCAGCAGATCTGACCAATAGCAGTTCAAAGTATTATAGCAATGGACATCTTCACATGGATACTATCCCAGGCTCGTGTGAAACTGGACATTATGCATCGCAAACTGAGCATCCGACGTATGGCATGATTAAGTTAAATGGTAACTCATCCCCTCACACAATGAAGAAGGAAGGACGTTACGACTGGATGTACCCTAGGTACCCATGCATGTACAATAGTGAACCAACTCCATGTGAAATAAACAACGTGTATGACTCTTCTGGCGAGATTCCAAAGCCAGAACAAAGAATTCGAAGGCCAATGAATGCTTTCATGGTATGGGCAAGAACAGAAAGGAAGCGACTGGCACATGAGAACCCGGATGTCCATAATGCAGATCTAAGTAAAATATTAGGTAAGCTAAATAGTGTTTTATATGATTTCTTGTCTTATACTGTGTACAAACTGTACATTTTAATAATAAAAATTGTGTTGGGTTTGGAAACTGATTGCAAATACAGCATCTCTTAATATTTTGTAATAGGACTTCATTTTCATATCGCGATAACCGAAATCAAAAAGAAAAAGATATAAAAAATAAAAAATAAATAAAAAAAAAATAATAATAATAAAATAAAATAAATAAAACTATAAATAAATACTATTGTATTTTTTCAGATTTTCATTTAAAACAACCATTACGGTTTATAAATTTATTCACATAATCTTAAATATATTTACATGCTTATATATACATTTAATATCATATCAATATGATGGGTCTGAATTTGCTTTGAAATATTTAATCTCATATGAATGTAAGTTTATTGTTACCACTGGTGTTGTAATTGTACTACTTCCTTGCACATGTGAAAATGTGGTCAATCTACCGAGAGCTTGTGGTTTTATGTACTATGTACTTTAGAGCCAAGATGGGTATACGGGTTCACTGTTTGCTGGCCTTTCGACATTGCTTGATACTGCCCAGTTTAGCAGAATCATTTACACTTAAACATATGAGTAAGATCAATTAAAGAAAAAAAAATTCTGTGTACCTTAAACTTATGTAATGTGTTAGATACAACATGGTTTTCGGCTCTCATACTGATAGAACTGAATATCATAACACACACAAGTTTGTCTGCGTTATCATTATCTACCTGAATTACACTATGTCGTAAAAATAACGTTAGAAATTACAATAATGTAAACCTGACATTGCGAAGTACCTATATAAGCCATTTTGTATCGTGACATGGGATAGAGTGGGTGTGAGGGAAAGGTGTGCACATGGTTTTGTCGATTGGTAGTTTTGTTGATACTACGTTTTTCGGTTTATCAGTTTACATTTCATGCTAATACTTACTAAAGTATTAAAATTCTTAAGCACTGTCACACCTTAAAACATTGATAAAAGTACACAACAACTTCAGTATATTGAAAGATATATTAATACGTGAAATTAGGTCAAAGTTCTGAAAGCTTCTTTCAGTATACCATATCCTTTTAGGTAAAACTAATAAGCTATATAAAAAAGAAAAAACCCCGAGGAGGATGGATGGATAGGAAGATGATGGTGATAGATTAAAAATCAAAAATTAACAGAAAAGTTTCAGATATTTTTCATGTAAACGATATTTTTCATGTAAACAATATTTTGAAAATTACAATGAGTGCCTCGTTGATAATAATTTGAGCATAGCTAGGCAAGTGCTTATCATTTGTTAGGTTATACACAGGTAAATAAATGAATTGTGTAATCTTAATGAATAATGGTTGAATTATATATGGAGGTCAAATAAATGATATTGTCGTTGACGGACGATAAACACTCAAGTATCAAATTCTTTTTTTTTCAAAATTTGAGTTTAACCTTCAGATTTTTCATTGATTACGTCTTTTACCATGCTTATACTGCAGTGGCTTTTGTGTGGTGCCTTAACATCAATATATATGTTTTGTTAGGTAATAGAATAAATATAATAAAAATCACAGATGTTTTCAATGAAATTACAGACAGCGTAAAACTGCCTTTTTATATGTCTAGGTAGTTCCCTTACACGTATTACATTGTAGCAGATACACACCTTCACTTTCCCTCCCTCACACATATACACTCCATTTCACTCCAGTACAAATGAAGAGATGTTATTAAGGAAATCTGTAGATTTCCGGTAAAACTTGTATGGTCTCTTAAGATCTGATGCTATCTATAAAATAACATTGTCAGCAATGCAGATTTTTACTAGAGTGGTTGCTATGACACGCGTTGTCTCTTCCTACTAAACTAGACGATAAACACGTTGTTTTATAGCAACTTGGACAGATAGGGAAACAAATATTCATTTTGGTTGTTTGCTGCATTTATTACCCTGTGAACAGACATGGTTATATTGAAGCTTGAAGGTACCTCAGTCATAAACAACCAGGAATGCTGTCGCGTGGCAGTAGTAATGAGCGTCGCCCCAAAAAATAAACAAATGTTTGAAAAGAGTCTTTTTTCGTCTAGTTTTGAATTTGAGCTTTGACATTATTTACTTGAATTGACCAAGATTTACACGGACGGTATCGTCAAATAAGCAGAAGGCGCTTACTCGTCAGGATCACAAGGTCTTTTTCTCCCTGTACTTTATCAGGACTCTCCAAGTCAATCTTCTTTTTTTATATTTTGCTAGTTTCATCGAATTTTAATTTGAATTAAAATTCACATCTCTACAAAGTTTGAAAATATCTCGATATTATCTACATATATATGATTACTTTTAGGAGTCGATTTTGCACAACGTATTTTTTGTTTGTTTATTGTTTGTTTGTTTTTCTTTTATGAATTAGGATTCTGTGTTTATAGCTGTTTTGCAACTATTAAATCATAAACGCGTCTTCAAATACAGCAAGAGGGTCGTTGTTTAACGGGTATAATACATTAAAATATGGGTGCAATACTGAAGTGCATCTGTTCGTTGACAGTGACATGATGGAAGTTCAAGGTTATATTCCACGAGACTACAAAAACAAAAGCTAAAAACACATGCTGTTTATATTTCTATTACCAATGTTATTATTATGAAGAAACAGCATGCTATATTTTGACCTTTGGTTATGATAATATTGCAGACCAAATTTTTATATGTTGAGGAGGGGAAATTTTGCTGGAATTGTGAAGATAATGAAGTTGAATTTTCGCTATTGCTTGCTGTTAGATGTGATAATACATCCAATCGATTACTATGCTTTCAAGAACCATGTTTTTAAACATCATATTGATTTCGATCAAAACAAAAATTAACACAATCCGTTTGCCTTATCTTAGCTTCATACTTAAACAACATATTTTCAGATACATTTTATCCCATTTTTGAGGACATTATTTTTTTTCATCATTGTGAAACCACTGAATCTTATTGAAAGTTCGGAGATAATTATGATTATGTATTGAATGTATGTATTCGGTTAAAATAAGTAATGTATTTCCACGTTAAATATAACTCTGAAACATAGTCTGTATATCAGATACAGGATAAAATGAAGGCGATTAGATAAACTGGGGAACACGAGAGTGATACATTCCGGTGTGATAAGTGGATGAGCTAACACAGTCGATATCTTGAAATAGACAGTGATACGTTTATTTACACATATATCTATACATATGTCTGACACACCAATATGCCATATATAAATGACAAAAAAATAAACAACGTTGACAAGTTATGTTCTGAAGACAACATTTCAATACTAAAGCAGTGTTGTAGGCACCTGGCCCCAGTTGTTCAACCGTTGGTTGGTGTTAGTCATTGGACGATGAAAGCTTCCCAATTTTTATAACTGGAAATATTGGAAAATTGAAAATATATGAATAAATTAGAACAATTTTCACTAACCACAGTAACTGTAACTAAAGCTTGAAGCTCCTTCCAGTCAGGTCCCAACTAGGTGGATAATGATAATTTGAGAACATCCCGAGGTCAAAGTACGTAATACTGTATAGGTTTCTTTCGATTGTCATGAGTTGGGGAAGACCTACAAACCCGTGATTTTCTGTATATGTTTTATTTGTAAGATATCTGTAGCTCAATATGTTATTTCATCCTGTAAAAGGCAAAAAAAATGGAACCCCACAAAAACACCACAGCGAACAACATTAAACAACACTGCGTTGTTTTTCAGTACAAAATAACGTACCAAACATATGACTTATTGTTTGTTCTATTTAATAAATGATTTAGTAGTTCATATTTCACATTTAAACAAATCACCTCGTTTATTTGTTAAGTTGTGATATATTAATGCATTAATAAATGGGTACATGCAGTGTAGATATCATTGAAACAGAATAACTGATCGTATTGAAGCAATAACTCGGGGCTCTAAATGCTAGCAATGTTATAAAAAAGGGTTGCCGCTTACTGTTACAGTAACACAACAAACAAGAAAATACCAACATGTCAACATAATTCTACTCCATACTCAAATTAATTATAACTAGGGCAAAATGTGAACAAAAGTCAGATTTAAACGGATACTCCACAGAAAGAATAAGACCATGCAGGTGTTCTGGAGGTGCAAGCATTCTCTGCTTCATCATCCACATGTCCTGTAAATCAATTCAAGTATGTAATATGAAGCTCTCAAATGAGTACAAGATATACAATAACGGAACCAACTATCGAGCATCAAACGCCTCCAGCACCATGTCTCACAGGTTATTTGTAAAGAGGTGTAGTTAAATAACGACATACACATACACATTTCACTCTTTATTGGAACAAACTTAAGAGAAACGAAGATTATCTAGCATAATTAACTAGGTTAGATCACAAACATATATAAATCATTGCTAAATCTGATAAGTTAATGAAAGCTGAAACGTAGAACCCATATCGCAAATGAAAAAACAAAAACAAAACACAACAAACAAATACTGATACGTAATGAACCTGTGAGGGAACTCTGTCGGCATCATTTGATCAATTGGCTTAAATCGAATCAGCAAACCACTATCAGCGCAATTAATACATGTTTACCATAAGAATAGATAAATAAACGAAGCAATTGAACAGCAAATCTAACCATCACTAGAATAGTCCAATAAATGACTTAAATATCTTTCAAGGAAAAGAAATTATTTGCATTATACAGCTGTTTAATCATTCATGGATTCTTCTGTAACGCTAGGGGCAAAAAGACATAAATATAATCCATAACTAAACCCCATAAGGCTAATTCCTGATAATCAAATAAAATAGCACACTCAAATGTAGAATAATATAAGGTTTTCAGTAGCTTTTAAAATGACTTTTGTATATAATTACAATTATATGTGATAAATTTTATTCTAATCAGTGAAAAATAACTAGGTTTTGTGCAACGAACATCGTAAAATGTACTTTGACGAATAGACATATACATCGACCTATCTACATTTCAAATTATACACTCTACTGGAAACTAACGGTAAACCGACATTCGTTAAACCACAATAGTTGTATATATACTGAATTTTGCATGTAGTTTGCTTCACTATTTCCGTTTGTCCTCTTGTTATTTTCAAACAGGAAATGTTTTGCTTCACATGAAATATCATCTATCTCAATTTCTGTGTATGCACTTTCTGGAAAGTCCAACCTGATTAACAAACAAGAGCTTTGGTTTAGTCTTCTAGATATTCACGAACCATGTGGTGGACATTTAAGATGATCAAACGATTATATTAAACATTGTTCTATACAGTTAACAAATAGAAAAGTGTACAATGTGACAAAATGCAACAATTTCTGTTCATTTTATTTATTTAGCTACCATCATTTACTGAAGACATAAACTGTAGATCGTTCATTCTCATTTTTGTGGTAAGGCCCGAAGACACCAATGCTCGAACTGACTTCTTTGCGCGACGATTATGCATTATACCTGTATTTTGGGTTATTATCTTCAACATATCATCCTTTCAATATCGAAAATCAAGATTCACAAAAACAAACCATTTGCATATTTTGATAAATGCAAAATAGTCCTGAACATTTTTGCTGTTATATTACTGAACGTTCAAGTAATATCTGCTTTGATTTCATAAATATGATTTTTTTACAGGGAAAAAGTGGAAAAACTTGTCGGCAGATGAAAAGAAGACTTTTATTGACGAAGCTGAACGTTTACGAGTTAGGCACATGCAGGAACACCCTGATTACAAGTACAAACCAAGACGAAGGAAACACCCGAAAAAAGCTCTTCGTAAAGCTTTGGACAAAAACCCGCAAGGAGACAGCATAGCCGAACAAAAAAATAACCTCTATAATGAGGCTACATTTGGCAGCATCCGCCATTCAGCGGCAGCGGATATGTATGGAGGGTACCTTACTGAGTGTAAAGACTCTGAGAACATGCACTGTATTCTACAAAGTCCAAATACGCCAGAGTCTTCTGCATCTTCATCTCCACCACAATCGGTGGGTTTTCCAAACAAATATAGCCATGACATTCTTTCGCAAACATATGGGCAACTTCCTTATCCGGCATTGACCCCTGAACCATCTCCAAGCGAGGTGAAAGATACGAAATTTTCATTTTCTTCGGAAGATACATCTGCTCAATTTCGTTCAAACACAGAACAACAGTTTTACTCCGAGTTTTTGCGCAATTTAAGTAAAAATAAATATCCTGAAGCACGTAGGATGTATGATTCACCGACAAATGATTCTTGCTATGACGACAATCATGTTCAACACAGACAGTTGGTACATAATAACTCTAATATCTCTGCGAGTTCTTGGTATCACTACTTGCCAAACAATGCTCAAATGATACCATCTTACCCAAATAATGGTGCTCAAATTCTATCTTCATTCCAGGAAGGGAATTATTTGTCTCCTTATTTGAACAATGATCAACAACTGATTTTGCCTGAGGATGAATCCTTAGCCAATGTTGATCCTCAGGAGTTTGATCAATATCTGATCGGAAACTCGAGCTCAGCTCAAGACAGAGGTGATAACAAATCACCATTAGACTCAACCTCGGATGAGAGTGAAGATATCCAAACTACAAATGCTTTGGCAGTTCAAGTAAAACTGGAGCGTGATTCCAGTGAATCAGAAATGGACAACGCCTAGTTTTCATGATTATTCGGTAGACATTGTGTTTTGTTATCAAAAATACTGCAAACAAACATTTACCAACCGATTTTAGTGTTATAAGTGCTGTGACATTCAAGACATTTGTGCTAAAGAAATGTCCAGAACATTCAGTGAAATTGTTTGCAAGCACTTAAAAAGGGTTACGACAGAAATAAAATTGGCAGCTTCCATACAATCCTTGCCTTCCATTATCTGAAGAAATGACCAAAATCAGCCTCAATAAGTTTAACTGTAAATATTGTCTTTAACATGCTTTTTTATTTTTTAAACTCTGAAAATGAGGTGTTTACAGTATTATTATGCCAAATGTACAATACCCATGACATATTTTCCTGAATTGCTCTCCATTACCATTCTCAATTATTATCACCTTGTTCAATGTTCAGTCTTCTCTTTAAGATTTATGTCTTTGAAAGTGTATAACTGTAAAAAGAGTGTTGATTATATTTAATTTGAAATCGTGTTCGTTTCACTTATCTAGAAATGAATTCCAAAATCTATCTGGCAAACTACAAATCATTTTTGTTTTCATATATGAGCTATAGTTATTTTTGGCCGAAATTTTCCAAACATTCGGACTACATTTATTAGGGAACATCTTCAAAAATAACGAAAAGTAAGAAGAAAAGTGAAATGAAATACTGTTTGTCGGTAACAAAGCAGGAAAAGTATTAACTATTGACCTCCTTAATATCCATGTCAACTAGTTATAGTCTCAGCTTAGTCTTGATATGTATTGACTTTAGAATATCTTGACTTTTTAAGTCAATGTATAATTATGAGAAACACGTTTTCATAGTGTAGATATTATCAAGATGTGACATTGGGTCGTTTTCTAAACCAGTCGTATCATTTTAACGGATCTGTAACATTGCAATGACAATATCCTTACTCTTTAAAGACGTTTGCATATGTGATAAATATAATATTACACTATGATTGTATCCAAGCAATGCTGGTCATTCCATTTTTTATTATTATTTTGTTTACTGAATGATATTATCAAATATATATATATATTTCACATAAATAGCACGTTGTTGTGCTGCCTACATTCTCCACTTCACTTCGTGAATTTTCCACTTTATGTATAGATGTGTTGCAATTTTTTACATTAAATTTTCATCGGTTGATCAATTTTCAACACATTTCTTAATATGTTTACAATAAAATGTGATTACATTGTATTGTTTTATTCAGGAAAACGCTTCATTTTTTCTTTAATGTATCTCTAACAATTGAAAGCAAATGTAATAATTTAGGATTGGATGTGAAAGTTGATAGCAATGAAATTTACTTGACAGAAGTGGAAAAGGAAAGAATATTGAAAAGTTGCAGGAATATGAAGATTTCTTCATTTCAGTGCAGTTGTTTTAATGGCGATCAACCAGAGATCTGATATCTTATCCATTTTTCCAAATTTGTCTTGAATGAAGAATTATGTAAATTGTTCGTTGTCTTACTGTTTTCTAATGTGAATATAAGCTATTTCAGAAGAAAAAATACAATCTATTTTTGTATCATCACTAAGTGTATATTTGCCTTGTTACTGTGAACGACGGGAAACAAACTAAAATAAATTTCATTTGAAATAATTCTTTGATTCCATTTCATTGATTATAACAGATGATATTTCTGTATTCTATCGTCTGAAGGATTGTACAAAAGACGCAAAATTGAATAGCGCCTTTTAATACAACAAACAACATGAACATACTCACATGTCAACATAATCATTATCCAAACTCAAATTAAATAATACTCGGGCAAAGTATGAACAAAAGAAAACATTACACGGAGACTCCTGTAAAAGTACAAATAGAATCAGACAAGGTGTTCCGGAATAGTAAACGTCTTCTGCTTCATCGACGACACCTGTCGTATAAACCTGTGTTAATCCAAGTTAGTAATGTCACATTCTCAAATCAGACCAAGTTTGTACACACTGGAACCAACAGGAAAACAAACGAGCATTAAACACGTCCAGAGTTAGATACAGTAAGGACAAACAATGAAGAAAACTGCTTCCTACGACTGTTTCTTCCTTCTAGGACTCGTCAGTGATACTAAGGACTTAGAATTTGAAGAGGCGACTGAGGGGAATTCAAAGTAATCGAAAGAAAGTAAAAATTTATTTGGGGAGGTGCACTAGCCCCATAATTCAATAACTTTCGTAATAATAAAAGTAATATTTTTTCAGAGGACTTTATTGTATGAGCAGACGCTATAATATTAGTTCACCTAACTCGACGAAACTGCATTTTGAAACTTTTGGTACCATTCTTGTTTATGATTAGTAAGTTGGAAGTTCGAAATTTTATTTCTCAAATTATTAGCTCGCCTGACGTACAAACAGATACAACCTGACAATCACCAACACAGAAACAAGATTTGGCGGGATTTTTCACAGGCAGTATTAAGTATCTAATATGAATAAAGCAAAACAAGGAAACGATGAAATTCACTAAAACGGATATCAGACGGTAGAGTTCCTCGCTGGCGATATATCCGGTAGCATGCTTCAAGCAAATATCATATTTCAGCGAAACGATCACGTTATGTGCACGTGATGATTTTAACTCTAGGGATATACACATATCACCGATATACAAAGACGTTATGTATACACAGATCAGAGATAAAAGAGAATTAGTCGTAAAATTAATTTGTTATGAAAAATACATGAAGGTGAGCTTTTCGATATTGTTCCGGTTTTGTGATATTCGATATAGCGCTATTTCTATTTTGGATTATGTACAAATATTATGAATATGCATTAATTGTTAATAAGATCGAACTTGAAATCATTTCATATATTCATTTCTTTCATATTTGATAAAAATCATATAAATTGTTTCGTAGGAGAAAAAAATAAATAAAATCTAAAACGCTCTACGTGACTCAGACTTTGGTGCCGTGATATGGCACCTCCAGGAAACTTTGGTGCCAGTAAATTATTAAGTTTCAATTATGTTTTCCTTGTGTCGGTTATTATGTTGGTTCAAAGACTTTTTTTTTCATTTTTCAGGTCTGGCAGTTATGAACAGAAAATAAAGAAACTTACAATTGTAATCTAAACATTTATTTGTTAAGATTTTGATTTGCATCCCTTCCCTCTCCCTCCTTCTTCTTTTAACCCACACAAGATTTCTCGAATAGCACACAATGCGTATCTAACAGCAAAAAATAGGCTTATCACTAAATGGTTGCCGAATGGCTAAAGTGATTTGTTTAAAATTTATCACGTGTGTATATATATATATATATATATATCTTACAGAAAAAGCAAATAATATTTTTCAAAAATGCGATACAGCATAAAAAATTAATTAGCCTGCATCATGCAGCTGTTTCGTCGGCCCATATAGGATTGGTCAGTGATGCTAAGGTATAAACATCTAACATGTAACAACCTATGAAACATTAAACAAATGTATATCTTAAATGTTCCGACCAAACGGAGATATCATATTGTGAGTCGATATATAGGACAGGAATTCATTAATCAAAGTGGTGATATCTAGCATTGGAACGGACATAGCGTGATACATGCACTTTACCATAACAAGGAATGCAATATTTAAAAAGCTGCTTGTACAATTTGACGTCGTGAAGGCATTCAAAAATAAATTGTGTATCTCACTTTACGATTGGCATAATTTATGTAACTTCACACTCTTCTGCATTTTCCGAATTATGTGTCCTTTACGGAACATCGTTGTAGGATAACTTTTTTAGCACCTCAGACAGGGATATCCCACGTAATACCCCATCCTAAATTGATAAAATCTTTTACCTGTAAATGAGCGAGATAATCAAGGACTGTAACATCCTAACCTGGGCTAACGCCTTAGTTGGGATTGTGTTACAAGATATTAGCCCTCGACTGAGATACCCCGATTTCGCTCATTTACAAGTAATTCTTTTTTTCTCTCATCTACTACGCTGAAAATGATTCAATGTTTTATCAGAGTTTGGCGTATCCCGTCGGAGCCTCAAATTACCCTTACAGCCTCTCCACTTTTAAATAGAAAAATTGGATAGTGTCGCGTAAACAATGTAGACCGCACTTACAAAAAATACAACACATTTTACAGTGAAGATCTTATTTTATCTACAACATCAGGAATCTTAACAACATAAAAAAATACACAAGACAGATAATATAAAGCAGATAGTAAATTTTGAACCGATTTCTACATATATAAATTCCTACACGCGGATGAATACACCGATGCGTGAAAAAAATCCGCGAAAATGCGCGTAAGGGTACTAGACAGATCGGGCGAGATAGAAAAATCTAGGATGGGGTATCCCTGTCTGAGGTGCGAGAATTTTCTGTGTTGCCCGATCTGTCTAGTACACTAACGCGCATTTTCGCGGATTTTTTTTTACCCATCGGTGTATTAATCCGTTTGTAGGCGTATGTGGCACCTACACCCGTGCATTTCAATAAAAACGTAGGTTATGTCGTTGTAAAAATTTCTGCTATGTTCTATTTAATTAATCATATCTAAAATAAAACAGAAATTTTTCACTGTAAAATATGTTGTATTTTTTGTAAGGGCTAAGATCCTGTAACATCCTAACGACTCGGTTGGGATTATGTCATAGGATCTTAGCCCTCGACTGAGATAACCCGATCTCGCTCAGCTACAGATAACAGATTTTATCGAGCGCTTTAACTGACTTAAAGTGTTGACGCCAACATTATATTTCATCACAATATCATGACGTCACTATTAAAAGCACGTGAAAACATTGTTTGACTTTTCCATATCATTAGAAGCCGACAATGCATATCAAATACAATTCCTTTACATCACACTGTCTCAACATTGTCCATATAAGGTATGACGATGGTATGAGTACTGCGTAATGCATAATAATTGTAATGCTTCTATTGACATATCGTAATTTCTTTTGTTTTTGTTGAAATGTGCAAATGACAAAATAAACTTGATGACGAAATTACTTTACGCGACAAAATCATTAAAATCCTTACCGACAGTGTTGCCATTATACACATCAATACGTGTATGCTATATAATATAGTGATATAGAATTAACATATGTTACAGAAACCTTAATTGTTCTCGCTAGTCTAACTTACACAAGTTTTATAACCAGACATAATCTATTCAGAAGAAATTATCGGAAACCATCACGGTTTTATCTTGTTCATCTTACATGGACCCCTCTTATAAGACCAATGTAGTTTTCGCAATGGGACAACAGGACAGGAAAACTTTCAGTTAGTGATAGTGGATATTCAAGAAACAACTTCCTCTCCTTACAGTGAATCGACCCTTAGAAATATTATGGTTTCCGCTTATTTAAGATATAATTTTGCATCCGGATGTTCTTGATAAACGGGGT